TTTAACCGCGTATGTATGCGAAAAAAAATAACAGAATGCCGGAGACTTTCGGGGTTATGTACGTAAGAGATTTTCAGTAGCGTATTAGCAAAAAAAAAAAAAAAAGTCATTCATTTGTGTGAGAGTATTTCAGTTGTCTACATGAGTGGAAAAATTCAGTACAAATGAGAGCATTTTAGTAGTGACCGTTTGTGTGTTTGACTAGTGTAGTTTGTCCGGGGAGTTCCATTTGTGTATGAGAGTGTTTCAGTTGTGTATGTGAGGAAAAAAAAAACAACAGTAGAAAGTGTGAGAGTGTTTTAGTCGTGTGGTGTGAAAGCAAAACAAATTGCAGTTGTGTGTGTCTGTGTGAAACCATTTCAACAGTGTGTGTGAAAGCATTTCAGTAGTGTGTGAGACCTTTTCAGTGGTGAACATGAGCAAAGCAAATTCTGGTATTCGTGCGAGAGAGAGTATTTCATTCTTGTGTGTAAGGGTATTTCAATTGCCTGCGAGTGGTTCGGTAGCGTGTTAGCGCATTTCCACAGTTTATGTGAGAGCTTCCCAATAGTGAATGGAAAGCAAATAAAAATTCAGTTGTGCATGAGAGAGCATATTAGGAGTGTGTCTGTGTTTCAGTAGTATGTAGAAGCAAAACAATTTTCACTAGAATGTGAGGGTGTTTTCGTCATGTGTGCGGGATAGCTTTTCAGTCATGTGAAATGAGGTAAAAATTTGTTTTACTAGTCTTTGAAAACATTCCGGTAGTGTGTTTGGGTATCTAAACCAAAAGAAAACAGTAGCTAGTGCGAGAGCATATCAGTAGTGACCCTTATATCAAACGGCGCTCTTTACGGTCATGACTAGAAGAGCAAAACCAGTAGCCTGGGAAAACCTCCACGGGGTTTCTGCAATGAGCAGCAGGCAGCGGATGTTTAGTTTAAGTGTGACCCACTCCCCCTTCTTGGCTGCCGCTCACCTGAAGTATGAGCAGGAAGAGGAAGTAGGTGTTGGCCACTTCCTGAAACTGCTCGAACAGGTTGATGGGCAGGAAGGTGAGGACGTTGTACTTGGATGTGGTGATGCAGTTACTCTTGTTGTATTTTGAAGGCGCACGAGGAAAGGACACACACACACAGATCAAATCCTGTATAGCACGGCATAATGTTGTGTAGCAGGGAGAGAGAGAGAGAAAGAGAACTTACAGCATACTGGAATTTTTCATTGTACTCTCTGTCATTGGCCCTGACTCTTCTCTCCTCCTCTGCGGGAACACAACAGACACATTGTGTGATGTAAACATACAACTATTATTAAACACATGACAATCTCATTTATACATGTAGACAAACAACCAATAACCGTTTTCAAAAGAACCACCTTATAGTCTTGGACATTTAGTTGCATTTCATCCAAAACGTGCCGTGATACTCAAGATGCTGAGATAGAACAAAATTCTTACTGCTTAGATCAGCGTCCTTAAATATTGATGAGAGCGCTTTTGAACTGAAGTGACTCTGCAGCGCGCTGCCAAGATGCAAGCGCTGTACCTGTGTTGCTCCGAGGATAGGAGAGAATTCTCAGTACAGATTTGACTGATGACGACATGAGAAGCCACGAGGAGACCACAGGAAGAGTCGGCACAACTAACGTGATTAACGAGCAATCCCATGCGCACACATTAATAAACGCGCTGCAGGTTTTGCTGTTTATTCAGGCTTGACTCATAACCTGATGTCATTATCCCCGCCAGGCACGTGTCATTCAATCATAATAGATTTGTCTTAGCAGTTCCGAAATATTATTTAGATGCGTCAACGATGACAAATTGTGGATTGATGACTGTTGCGGGAGTGGATGGATGTAGGGATAGATGAAGACATGGATGGGTGATGGGTCGCATGGAGGAATGGCTAGGTGAGTTCGTGGATGGATGGAAGAATGAATGAGTAGATGATGGAAGGATGGATGAATGAATGTTAGTTGACAGATGTGTGGCTGGATGGATGTCGATGGATGGATGGACGGGGGTTGATGTGTGGAAGGAAGGATTGATAATGATGATAGTTGATGGATGGTAGCTGATAGATGCAAAGGAGGATGGAAGGATGGATGTATAAATGGGTGTGTGACGGAGAGATGGATGAAGAGATGGATGGCTGATGGACAGGTGGATGGATGATGACAAATGAATGGATGGATGATGGGCATATTGACGAATGAATGGGGGATATAAATGGATGGATGGTAGTTCATAGATTTGTGGCTAGATGGATGGCTGGTTGGATGATTATATGACAGATATGGATGGATGGTGATGACAGGTTGATGGATAGATGGATGGATGAATAGATGTGACAGATCAAACACTGTACAGTTACTTGAAAATGTTCATATATGACCTTGGATGATGGGCCACATGATGTTTCACCATTTCTGAAGACAAACACATTCTTATGTGATCACCTGTTCTCCAAAATACAAAACAATGACACCGAATAATACGGAAAACTATTTTTCTTAAATATTGTTCTATGGCTCTCCTGGTCACGGCTCCATTTTCCCCGAACCTCAGAGTTCCAAGTAAGCAGATGCCGACCCTCTTCCCGTCAGGTGCCGGCACCCCTTTCGAAACTCTGTTCTTCCTTTGAACGCCGAGCGGTCACTTGAATGCATCTTGAGCAAACTGCCCATTAAGTGTTTAATACTGTACATCTGACAGCAGCGAAGGCATTAGGAGCCCCCGACGCTGACTGCGATGTGAGAAGACGCGCGTAGAAATCCATAACGCTCCATTACAGACAAACCTGCCGGCTGACTCGGGAGACATAAACGAGTCTATGAGTATCGATTCAAGATGAAAGACCCGATATCTAGAATGTCACGGAGAATGACAAATTTTGATCCTAATTGCAGTCAAGTGGCGCATTTTTATATGGAAAGAAATTTAGTGGGGCTCCAAACCACTTAACTGGGCTCCGAAACAAAAGCAAAGTAGAATGCTAACGATTTCAGGAAGTCAGTCAGACAAAACGTGAAGGTGAACCACTCCAAAAGAGCACCATACGCCCATTCATCTCTTGAATTACGACTTTCTATTAAATATTAATTTCCTTTTGGAAGGGACTTTAACCCTTTCGGGGATAGCGCTTACTGCAGTGGACAGGTTATCATGTTATCAGGTTACAGGGTGCATGAAAGGGTTAAAAAAGGTTCGCTGTTGATTTGTTTGATGCGGAACAGCTTTTCGGTCCTCTCAGAATTTTAGAATCCTCTGATGTTGCATCGTGGGACATTTTCACTTTGGGGTGTCCTCACGTTTGTTGCAAGTGGTTCAGACATTCATGGCTGTGTTTTAATACAAACACACGACGACTTCCGTCATTGGCTTCTTGCTGCTTTTTTGTGAGCGTGCGACTAAAATCATGTCCCACACATCCACAATAGCTGTAAAGCGAGTCAGGCGTCACAATGAAGAGTTGACTGACGGTCCAGAGGTTGGAGGAAGGGTCACACTGTTGCGATGTGTTCAA